CTCAGGTCAGTATTATTTGTGTTTAATCCTCAAAGCTACCCTCATGAAGTTGGTATTGTCAGTACCTTACAAATGAAAAAGTGTGATTCCAAGACATTGTATGTCTTACGTTCTCATGGCTGCCAAGTGAACAAATCTGATACCACAGGCTTGCTACTCATGTCAACCTGTTTCAACCACCATTTACAGGGCATACCTTAGCCACCAGGCTTGCACAAATAGTACTGAGGTAAAATAAACATCTACTGAATCATTGTGTTATTGTTAATTTTAGATTTGATTTATGTTGGTTGTAAACCTTCCAAAGCTACCTTCTCCTAAAATTATTACAATAAGGATTAGGATTTCAAATTTTGGCTTTTGCAGGGACACAGCATATAGCAGTATGGAAGCTTCCTCTAACCTTTCAAAGATGAAATGAGTTAACGAGTTAGCACAAGTGAGTCAATAAACACTTAGCATTGTTTTGTGTTAAAAAAATAATTAGTAATGCCCTTTGCACAAGATTAGAAAATGCAACTTTTTGTTGGGATAAACAGATTTTCTCAAAACCATTTGTACTGCTATTTGCTAAGCTGTTTTTTTTTTTATCATATCTCTTATAGGGCCTTCATACTTTATTATTAGTTTAACAATTGTAATTCCAACTGTTAAAGACAAATAATCCAGCCAACCAATCTCTGGGTCATGGGGCTGGAGAGATAGCTCATCTATTAAGAACACTGGCTACTCTTCCAGACGACCAGCCCTGGAAGAGCAGAGACATGCAAACAAACAAATCATACATACACATTCAAATAAATTTTAAAGTATTTTAAAGTAAATTCTTTGGGTCATTATAAGCATTTCCTATACCTGCAAAGATATAACTATAAGGTAATTATATTAGGATAAACCAGGTTAGGCTATTATAACCAATAATTCCTAAATCTCAGTGAATTTATGTGATAAGGACGTCTTTCTCGTTCATATCTCATGTTCTGTGTATGTAGCAGGCTGCTCTCCTCCACGTTGGACTGACTTAGCAAATAGGTTGCAGCATTAGGAATGGGCTGGTTATGGAGAGAGGACAGAAAAGGGGGAGAGGAAAGGAAAAGGAATGGAAGATGAGAGGGGAGAAACAGAGAGAAGAGGAGGGGAATGGAGGGGAGGAAAGAGGTAAGGAGGGGGGAAGAGAGAAGAAAAGGGAGGGGAGGGGAGGGGAAGAGAGAAGAGAGGAGAGCAGGGGAAGAAAGGGGGAGGGGAGGAGAGGCAGGGTTGAAGACTCTCAGAGCTACCCATGCTTTAGCACCACTACCATCTTTCTCTTCATTCTTTCCCATCTTTCTTCTTTTTATCCATTCAGTAAATTGTAAAATGGCAAAACATTAGGGTTCCTTTAAGGATTTTTAGGACAGTAGTCTTTTTAGGTGGTCTTTTAAAAAGGATCTTAGGGTAACAATCCCTTTCTTGGAGATTAATAATGTATATTGATCTAGCAAATGCTTAGAGAAGAAGTATAGTCAGGAAATTTGCTTAATTCAATATTCCTCCTATGTATTTGATCCTGGAAAGTCCCCTGAGAAGTTGACTTATGTTTGTGACAATAGCAAATTTCTATATCAGACTTATTTTTAGTTCTTTTGGGACATGTGACAGGATTGTCTTTCTCTGCATAAAGATATTCATACAGAAAATCCATCTATACTATCTTGTCTCAACAAAAAAAACCCACCACTTTACTAATCCCTTGCAAAAGGAACTTGTGATTTATTCTCTATTGAGCATCATAGATCATGCTTAGTGCCTTCCTTATGCCAACCCTTTGGCTCCTTTCACCTTCACAGCAAAGACACTCACATACTGCTATGACCTGAGCGTTTGTGTTCCCTATGAAAAACAAAGTCACATTTTGAAGCTTTAACCCTCAGGGTGATAAGGTGAGGAGGAGAAGCCTTTGGGAGATGAGGAGTTCATGAGGTGGTGATGAGATCACAGGACTGCGCCCTTCTGCTTGAGACCATATTGTCCTTAGAAAAGTCCCCAGAGAGCGGCTTTGGCCCTTCTGCTGTGTCGAGGCAATCATTAGTCTACAGCCCAGAAGAGAGTCCTCCCCAGGATCTGACCATGCTGCTACCTGATCCTTGTCATTCTCAGCTTCCAGAATTACAAGAAATACCTTTCTGGGTTTATAAACTTCCGAACTGCTGGTATTCTGTTTATTATAGTCTGAATGAATTAAGGTACATCAAATACAAATGCTGAGAAAACAGAAGTGGCAACTGGAGGAGTAAACCACCAAGCAAAAAGGATTACAATGTCTCAGGAGTGTGCACAGAGAGGTCACAAATGGGGAGATTTTACTTTGGTGGTCCTCTCTAATCGAACCTCAACATGTGTAGGAGGAGTGATATTTGGATGTAAGTGAAGAATCTTAAAGGCCAAGCTGTTTACGTTATGCACATGGTGATAAATCACTGAAATGTTCTGTTGTTTTTATGTTTTTTTACATAAAGGAATATTTTTATTAATTTATTTTAGTACATTTATAAACTATTCTTTGAGAATTTCATACATATGCACAATGTATTTAAATCATACTTATCCCGACTTCCCCCTTCAACTCCTCCAAGAACCCTAACTCCGTCCCACTCCCAACCTCATGTCTCTTTTTAGAATAACTTACTGAGTTCAATTAATGCTATTCTTATATACCCGGGCATGGGACCATCCATTGGAGGAACATGGTCATCCTACCAGGGACCACACCCTTAAAGAAGACTGACTCCTTCTCCCCTAACCACCATCACCTGTAAGATGACACTATTTCCATTTAGCAAAAGTAATAGTAGGTTTACCTCTAGGGCCTATGAGCCCCACAGTTTGGGATTCTTGTTCAGGTTTCCAGCACCAGCTGTAAATTTCCTTTTTCAGAGCAAACAGAAAAGTGTTTGGTTACCCCATAACATTCACCCCACCATTGCACCCATGGGCATACCTTAGCAGGTTGATCATTATTATAGCTCACAGGATTCACAGCTTAGTAAGACTGTTGATGACCTTTCTCCCCTAGCAGGCCGTATAGCAACTTCCAGATCTATGAAAGCTAACCAGGGAAGAAACCTCCAGGTAAGTACCAGCTTAATTGGTTCAAAACTCATGTGACCAAAGTGTGTGGTATATCCAACCATGTCTTACCGTCAAGTTCTGGTAGGTAACCAAGAACAATGGCGATAGCCTGCATTACTTGGGTGGCCTCTGGAACTCCCCTTGACCTACAAACTCTAGGGAAACAGCCCATACCTGTCACTCGGCTTTCTCTTAGCAACCTGTGGCTTCTGGGAGGAGCATTCTCCCCCATGTAGTGTAACTCCAATTAAATATATAAAAAAAAATAGAAGGTTTTTATGTCTTCCCCCTGTTGTGGGTTATTAGTATTTATTATTGATTTATCTTTTAGTTGATCAGCAGTTATTCCTAAACCCTGCTGTATACCCAAATCACCACACAGAGACTATAATTTATTTAGTTAACCTAGAGCACAATGCTGGGCAATAGTTACTCCATCCTAAATCTCCAAGCCCACAAGTTTTCTACCATTCAGATTTCACCCATTATACTTGCTTTTAGTCATATCTTAGGTCCAGTTCATCCCGCCTCAGGGTTCCAAGTCCTGTCCTGCTGATCTCTGCCCTCCTCCTCCTACTTGCTTCCTTCTCCTCCCCTCTGGACCAGGATGTCTCACCCTGTTCTCTCCATTGCTCAGTATTGGGGCTGGTTGTATTATTGACAATACAGAGAACAAAGGGTGGCATGTTCACACAAACTTGAGACAGGTGATGCTTAGCACAAGCGTCCCAATGTAATGTCCAGATTGAAACCTGATAGTGGGGTACAGAAATCAGCACTGGAATGAGCAAGGGTACATTCCACAAGAACATTCCAACAACATCCCCCAAACATCCTTCAGGGTTAGTTCCTCTATCCTGCTCTCCCACTCTTTTCCCCACTTAAACAGCTCCTCCTATTCTACTTCTCCCCTTCATATCATCCTTATTCTACTATCCTTCCTCTCTTAAGATCTGCTCCCTAACCGAAATGGTTCGAGTTTTTGATGTAGGAGTAACCCAATCAGATAATTACAGCCAGACTTAGAAATTTCGATTTCAGCAGGGTCCTTACACAATCCAACGCAAACTTTTCAACTTGCAAACGAGAACTGTAAAGCAGACAAGTGTGGGGCTGCACATACTGGGGGCTCTCGAAGGACTCTGGGCAAACTCTTAGATAAGGCTTCAGGTGGTTTACCAAAAGAGCTATTTGTTTGGGAATACAAATTTGGCTTTATTATAATAGAAGTGTATGCTGAGACAGGCATACCAAAAACCACAGGTTAAGGAGATCAAGGAACATTCTAGTCACAGAAATTCTGAGTTCTGTAGAAAAGTTCTCTTCCCTTGCCAGATATCCTGTCCTGATGCTGAGATGAGGCGGTAAGCCAAGACATTAACAACTGTTGATACGTAAAGCAGTTTTTGTGGGGTAGTACTATTACCACCGTTTTAAAAAAATAAAGGGTACTTAAATAATTTGCTTTAAATTCTTGATTTGGTGAACGGAAAGCCTGGCATCAAACCTGGGCCTGACAGGCCACATTGCTATGTGAGTTCCCACTATGTTGACCTAGAAGCTGCTTTCACTCCCCGGAAGTTTCCACTAGGCCAGGTCGGCCATGTGAGAGAGATACCTTATTGACCTTCACAGTCCAAAGCTTGCTCTTTGTCAGTCAGTAAATACGAAGTGGGCACCTAAACTTGTACACTCTCCTGCTTCCAAAAGCCTTGCATTTCCACGGCGACTGCAGAGCCAATGCAGCGATTCCTAGCGAGGTGTTGAGATGACCGAGTAACCAGCAACGAGATCTTAAAGCACACCGCTATTCCTTCCTGCTGTCGCCGACGGGACAGTAAACACTGTTAAAATAAGGTCTGACCAATAAAGCGTCAGGGGCATTGGTATAAATGGCTCAGCACGGTGAGGTAACTTCAAAACGACCCTGGGCACCGCTGACCACATTGGTTCGCATTTGCTCTCTGGCAGGACGAAGGGTCCTATGTAGTCTTGCTCTGTTTCTCTTCTCAGTCCTGTGTGCTGTCCTGGAAGTAAGAAGCAGGGAGACGGTGAAGCTCTGCGGCCTGGGCTATGTGAGAACCGTGAGGGACATCTGTGCACAGCTGGAGGGGTCTCTCCACGCTCAGCAAGGTAACTGAACTCTGGCACCTCACTTCTTTTTTAACAGACTTCTCTTTTTAATCCCGCCCCCTCCCCAGCCTAGTTATTTAAGTAGCTATTTCTCTAAGAAATACTGATCCGCTTGTATATCGATACTTAATCCTCAAAATATATTACTGAAGTTGGCCCTGGGAGAAAGGCAAACATGCTATAATTGCACGGCTGCTCTTTAGTCTTCTGCTTGAAATCATTGCACTGCAAGGGACTTCAGGGAGCTGAGCATCCGTGGGCAGAGCAGTGGAGGATGTAGAGAGGCCAGAGGTCTGCCTGCACACGGATGATTAGAGGATTCAGCTAAGTGGAAACAAGAGTGAAGAAAAGAACCTGACTCAACTGGCCGCTTATTAAGCACCAGGCAATTCGGGGGGTGGGGGGGATGGTTGCCCTCAGCTTTCCAGTGAAGATCCTGTGAGGTAAATAGTGCCGCTGCTGGTTATCGCTTATCAAGGAGAAAACTATTTACCTGGCCGTTCAGCAATGAGGCTAGGAAGTAAGCCAGGTCTACCTGCTTCAAGAGCTGACGTCATTGCTGTTACGTACTGTGCCCCGTGAAGAGAAAGCTCGTGTAGATACATCATGGAGAAGGTGGCATTTAACGGACGTCCTGAAGGGCCTGTCAAAATTGAGAAGTTGTAGGGCAGGGACAGGGAGGATGTGAGCAATAGGAAATGCATGGTCACAATTCCCAGGGTGCCTGTCAGCCTGCTGTCACAGTAGCCGTGCTGTGCTGACATCAGGGATCTTCGGTTTCCGATTCAAGTAACTTGGAAGATGGGCTGGAATTATTTCCTCTCATCTTGTAATGAGGTAGAGGCCAGAGACATGACTCAGCTGTTAAAAGCGCTTGCTTGCCCATTCTGAGGACCTGAGTTCAGTTCCCAGTACGAGCGAGCGTCAGGCAGCTCACAACTGTCTCTCAGTCCAGCTCCATCCAGGGGATTTGAATCCTCTGGCCCCATTGAGCACCTGTACACACTGAGCACCCTTACACACATACACAAATAATTAAAAACATTTTTTTTTAAATTTAAAATTTTTACTATGAGGTAGAATTCACTTAAGGTTCGATGATTCTATTTTTTTAAATTGACAAAAATGCATGGATTTATCATGGATGCACTGTGTTGATATTGCTTTAAATATTGTATGCATTGCACAGTGGCTAAATCAGGCTAATTCACATACACATTACCCACACACGTATTTTCTTGTGGTGAGAACACTGGAAACGTACGCTCTTAGTAACTTCAAGAATTCCCGTGTTGCTATTGATAACAGCCACCGCATTGTACAGACCATCTCTTGAACTTATTCTTCCTGGCTGCTTGAAACTGTGTACCCTTTGCTTCCCCTCTCTCCATCCCCGGACACCTCAGCCATCCTCAGACAGCCACCGTTCTCCTTTTGCTCCCGTGGCCTGGGCTCTCCAGATCTCTCTTACGCATGCAACATTGCTCTTTTTGTGCCCAACTCCTGACTCTGCTTGAATAATGGGTGGCATTACCTTTGTTTTCTAGCAAAGACTTAGGAAATGAAGGACATGCAAATGCTGAAGCCACAAGTATAATGCTAGAGGTTTCAGCTAGGTTTAAAGTGACTTTGGTAAACATAAGGTTTTAGCATGCTACCAACAATATTCATATTTTAATGGGATAATGTCTTGAGACGTGATAAACTTGTCCTTACCACTTTAATACTGAGGTTCCTACAGACCTTATTAGAAATATGTTTTTAAACTTTATCTATCTATCTATCTATCTATCTATCTATCTATCTATCTATCTATCTATTTATTTGAGATGGGGTTTCTCTGTGTAGCCCTGGCTGTCCTGGGTTCTCTTTGTAGACCAAGCTGACCTTGAACTCACAGTGATCTGCCTGCTTCTGCCTTCCTGAGTGTTGGGATTAAAGGCAAGCACCACCACCCCAGCTTGTTTTTAAACTTGTTTCTGAGACAGCACATCGAGATATAGTTTTAAAACTGCATGGATGTATCTCTGAAATATACAGAGCGGTAAAATGGACGTTTTGTCATTTCTCTTTTTACATTTTATTTTTTAAGTATTATTATTGTTGTATGAGTATGTGTGCCTGTGTGTGTGTATGACGTGTGTGTACAGGCACATATCCCATAGTACATGTGTGGAAATCAGAGGACAACTTTATGGAGTCAGTTCTCTCCTTCCATTATACAGATTGTGGGAATCAAAGTCAGGTCCAAGCATCACTGAAATCGTAACGCTCAAACCTTCTGCAGGTTTTCAGTATGTTTTCCTCCATATTGTTTATCTGATCAATTACTAGTTGACCAACTAGTGGTCATTCATGTGTTTTTTTGTTCAGTGCTTGCCAATGCTGAGCCTGAGCTAAATTAAAAACCAGAGGGACTTGAATACAGACATTGGGAACAACCGCTTAGATTAAACAACGTGGCTCGTGTTTCGGTTTCAAATATGGACTGGAAATCCCACCAATCAGCTCTGCAAGGCACCCCCAGGGTTTTTGTTACTGTTGTTCTTTTGCTCCTAGTTAATTAATTACGTCTCTTGTGGCTAATCATAAAGCTTATTGCTAATTACAACTAATATCTTTGGAAACTGCTGGTCATGGTGCAGAGGTAGCCCGTTACAGTCACTGCTAGCTAACTAACGCTGCTGTCTTTCAGCCTCTGCAAAATGAAGCGCTCACAGGACCCAGCTCTTTCTTAAGTGCTGATCTTTCTTTTGTCTGAGTTCTTTAAGGTAGTTTGGTGCCTTTCTCTCTTTTAGCTGAGACAAGAAACCACCTCCAGCTCCCAGACCAACAGGAGGCGTCCAAGGAAACTCTGGAGTACAACTTTCCCAAGAAGATTACGTCAGGACAGGAGCTTGTTCAGGATCCACAGGCCCCCATGGAAGGGCTCTGGCAGTCCAGGAAGCACTGGGTGATATCCAGACGGTATCTGAAAGCTCTGTGCTGCGCTGAGGGCTGCTCCATGGCTGAGCTCAGGACCCTCTGTTAGGAAGTGCCCAGCCCCCACAGCGGGCTTCAGTGTGTATCTCACTGGCATTCTACCTGTCCCACATTCAGCTTCTGTCACTACAACTGTGGCTTTGGGGTAGGACCTTTCTTTCCTCAAAGGTATATGATGGCTTAAAGCTACAGGGAGGTCTCTCTCCTCCCTCTGAAGTGGCCAACCCGCTCTTCTTTCTAAGTTCTAACTACCACTTTGAAATTTCAAGTGCTGTGCAAAAGTGAAATAAAAATGCCTAAATCCAAGCTCACTGTGATTCTTTTCCCTTAGAATTCTGTTAGAAGGGCTGGAGAGATGTCTCAGCAGTTAAGAGCACGTGTTGCTCTTGTGGAAGTTATGGGTTCAATTCCCAGCAACCATCCAACAGTTACACTCATCTTTAACTCCACTTCTAGGGGCTCTGACACTCTCCACTGGCACTCAGTCTACATGCGGTGCACTGGCATACACACACACACACACACACACACACACACACACACGCAGGCAAAACACTCATACAAGTAAAATAATACATATGAGTAAATCTAAAAAAAAAAAGTTAGAGTCAATGATTAAGGATGCTCCAACCAAAAGCTTATATCAGGGACTGGAGAAATGGATCAGCAGTTAAGAGGCTGTTCCTTCTTGGTTCAGTTCCCAGAACCCACATGACAGTTTACAACTATTTGTACCTGAAGTTCCAGGGAGATCCCCTTTTCTGGCCTCCTCAGGCACCAGACAAGCACGTATTACATGGACATACACATAGGAAAAACATCTATGCACATAAACAAATCTTTAAAACAAAATAAAAATGAAAGGTACATACCACTAAAAATAAGGGGCATACCTTCTTGGCAATCTTACATACTTCTTGAGTGTATGAGCGGTGAAGGCCCTGGAACTGGAGTTAGAGATGGTTGTGAGGCAGCATGGGGTTTCTGGGAAACAGACTGTTGAGCCATCTTCCCAGCCCTGATCTAGCCAGCTCTTGCTACAGGGGTAACAAGGCCTCCCTTTCAAGTGAAGGGTAAGAAGGGAGAGACTGCTGTATACAGTCTCCTAGGCAGGAACTATGCCTAGACTGAGCATCCTTCAAGATTCTCTAAAACTTTCTGGGACCACAGCTCTTAGTGGAGGCTGGCAGGGTAGCAGGACAGAAAGAGGGGCATGAAGATTAGCACATGAAAGAGATGAATGTTAGAAAAAAAAATAGACTCACCACTGCCACCAAGAGATACAGAAAAGGGACAGAACATATATAGAAGGTAGATACTACATAAATGGCCTTTAAAAGTTAGCAATTCTTGTGGTCCAGGACCTTTGAACCTTGGACTCTTTAGCTCCCTGGCCCACTTCTACTTTCAGAAATGATCTTTTTTTTTTTTTTTAAATAAACTATCTCTAAGCCAGGTGTGGTGGCACATGCCTTTAAGCTGTGCACTTGGGAGGTAGAAGCAGATAGATCTCTGTGAGTTCGAGGCCAGCCTTGTCTACACAGTGAGTTCAAGGACAGCCAGGGAAATATGGTGAGACCTTGTCTTTGAAGTGCACATGCTCACACACACACACACACACACACACACACACACACACACACACACAC